ACAGGCCCATACTAAGAAAAGTTGAGTAGAACAAAACATCTACTGAGCTCCCGTTGTCGACTAAGATTCTTTTGACGTTGTAGCATGGGTCACCGATCCCTGCGCTAATCACCAGCGGATCTTGATGAGGAGTTTTTATGCCCTCTAGGTCGGACTCCTTGAAGGTGATGGAGTGATCAGCATGAAGTTTCTTTGTGGGTGGTTCTATGTTCTCTGCAATCAGAACCTGACAAGGCGTTGAAGGACCCCCAGCAATAGTTTCAATTTCGCCCACCATTTGGCGATTGTTTGTCGACTGTTTTTGTTGTTGATTTTGCCCCCCAGTTGGAACAGCTTCTTCTCGGGCTGTTGGGTTCTTGATGAACTGCCGGAGATATCCTTGTCGAATCAATCTCTTAATTTCTTCTTTGAGCTGCCTACACGCTTCAGTAGTGTGCCCACGGCTACGGTGGAAGTGGCAATATTGCTCTTGATTTCTGACGTTGGGCTTTAAAGGGTGTGGCCACTTTACGTTCTCCTGATCTCGGATAGACATCAATACGTTCGCTCGGGATGTATTGAGCGGTGTGTATTCCTTTTCCTGGCGAGACTCTCGTCGCGACTGTGAGGGCCGAGGAGGAAGATTGTAGCTTCCTTGCTTCTTCCTTTGTGATGGGGGATTCTCCGTCCCTGAGGGGTTTTTACGCTTCCCGGTTGTCTGCTCGAATTGCTTCCTGTGAGCATTGATGGCTTCATCAGCAGTGATTTGGGCCTCTACTCGGTGGATTAGATCCGCATATGAATGGACTGTTTCTCGCATAAGTGCCGAGTAGAAAGGACCCAGGCTAAGCCCTCCAAGGAATACACCTCTCAGTAATTCTGGATCTACCCCTGGAATTTGTCGGGCTTCCATAGAAAACCATTGAAAATACTCTTTAAGAGATTCACCCTCGTTCTGACGTATCCCTGAAAGATGGGAGGAGTCTTTAATCATCCTTCGATTGGCGACAAATTGTTCGACAAATAATTTGGCCAGTTTAACGAATAGTGGAATGGACCGGGGGGCAGTGAGTAGAACCATGTCCGGGCTTGCCCT